TTTTATATTTTATATTATATATAAATATATTTAATATATAAAAATAACATATTTTTCTTAAACATATAGCGTTTGTATATATATATATATAAACTATGGCCAATGCAATTAATGTAATTTCTTAAATAAATTATGTAATATAAATATATAAAACAAAAATGAATAATTTATGTACATTTAATAAAAATTTCTTTAGGTATAATTTCAAACATTGATCATTAATACCAACAAGTGTTTCTAAAAGTGTCTCATATGTTGCAGATGAAAAATGGAATGTATTTTTAAAAATTCAAATTTAAATAGAATCCAACTGGCGTACACCTGGCAACCTGACTTTCTTTCGCTTTCTCTCCCACACTCACGTTTCCTTTCCCATGTCTGTACCCTTTCACGCTCACAATTGCGTGTTTTCCCGTAATTTTCATCTGCGTATCTGTGCAGAAGTGTTTTGTGTGGCGTTTCACACGAGCTAATGAGACACAAGCTAAAGCCTCCTTTTCGCTGATCAACTTGATATATTTTTAATGGCTGCGATTCAGAAGCAGATTTTAAAGCAGAAGCTCCGCGCTCGAGTCCCTCACCTCTGATTCCTTTTTCTCTGGTTTCTCTCAAGGCCCGAGGGAATAATGGAGCCGTAGCAGTAAAGTGATGTGATCTGTTGACAGTAATCAGCCAGTCAATTGACAGAATCAGACGCGGTGGCACAGAGATAATAGATTTAATGGAAAGTGAAACACCAGTCCTTCCCAGTCCAACAGCATTTTTCTCTAGAGTCCTCAGCTCTCTCATGCTTTTCTCGCTTTCGTCTCTCGCCATTTAAAAGCCTTTTCAGACAGCGAGGTGAACACGACGCAACCAAACCAAACACATCTTATGACTGTCACATGGCTCAAGCTCTTGTCGTATTTACATCACGTTGCTCTCTGGCCCATTAAACCGAAGGAGAAAGCTGTGTTTGTTATCTTTGTCGCTGCATTAATGCTTTATGAGGCCTACAGCTTTGCTGGCCTTTTTAAGTCTGTACCTGGTTGCCAAGTCATGCAGAAATAACTCCCTTGAATATGAAGAAATCAGAAGCTCATCGTTAATTATTCAAAACACTAAATAGGTCACTGGTTCTCATTATAAGTTGCACGCAGATGGAGAAGGAACCTCAGCGAGGACTGAGAACAAGCAAACACACAGATTCCTTCACGGATGTGGATGTGTGTCTGTTTCATAACCAGCTGTCCCCTTACATCATTTAATGATCACTTGTTTTGAAATCTAAATGTCACTGACAATATTTATACTGCACTTTCCATGAATACAATGCAATTTGGTAGCCCGCTGGTTTATGTAAAGTATTTAAAACACATATTTGTTGGATATGTTAAAAAATGGGTTCTTAAAATCTCCAAAATCTTATATGTGACCCTGGACCTCAAAACCAGTCATAAGGGTCAATTACAACCAATACAACTATTTGAAAATCTGGAATCTGAGGGTGCAGAAAAATCTAAATATTGAGAAAATCATCTTTAAAGTTGTCCAAATTAAGTTCTTAGCAATGCATATTACTAATCAAAAATTAAGTTTTGATATATTTACAGTAGGAAATTTACAAAATATCTTCATGGAACATGATCTTTACTTAATATCCTAATGATTTTTGGCATACAAGAAAAATCAATAATTTTGACCCATACAATGTATTGTTGGCTATTGCTACAAATATACCCCAGCGACTTAAGACTGCTTTTGTGCTCCAGGGTCACGTATCACGATATGAGTAATTTTATATCACGATGACGATATATCTCATGTATCACTCTTAAAAATAAAGGTAGTTTTCATAGTTTTCACTGTGTAAATACAATTCCGTATTAAAGTTACAAAAGTGATTTAGTCGAGTGGTGCGATTTTCTCTCACTGTTGTTTGATTAACATGAATGACAGACAGGAGGAAAAATAGGCTGCTTCCTCTTTAAAACCGAACATCTGGATCCAAAATACTGTTACACATGTGTTTTCTTTCTCAGCTGTTTACTTTCACTTAAGACCTGAATGACTGTGTTTATGAGGATACTTGCAAAGACGGGCATTTAGACACATATAAGTATGTGTATTTAACCGTTCAATGCCAATACAGCAACAAAAATATTCAGACGCTCTAGGAGCAGCGGATTCATGTGCGCGGCCTGTGGAAACAGTCTGACAAACCACAATGCTTTAAAATGTGTGCAAATGATACATTTTCATGACCATGGTGCACCGTCCGCAACTTGACGTGAGTACACAACCATGATAAAGACGATAGTCCAAAATACCGGTTGAAAAATTTCTACCGGTTAATCGTGTCTACCAGTATATCGCCCACCCAACACACCACACAACAAAATTACTAAAACTTTAACTAAAATCGAAAACAAAAAAATATAAAAATAAAAACAGATTCACAATATTTATAAAAACTATAATAGTATTTCAGTGATACTAAAGTAACACTGGTTATTGCATGATCAAAGTAACATAATTTGGATAACATAACCAAATTTTCACATAAACAACCTTATTCCTTTCTTATTGTTGATTGCATTTGTCAATCTTAACCTTCAACCCTGTTACCCAAAATATTGTAGGAAAAAAAAAAAAAAACATTGAATAAATATTTATCTTTAAATTTTGGGAAATATAACAAAAACAACAACAACAAGTAGCTATTGAGTGATGTAATTTAGAGATGTAATATGTAATTTGAGTGATATTTACAACCCTGTTACCCATGTTTGCATCGTTTGTTTTGTTTATTTTTAATGGTATAAGTTTTGTCTATTTATTTCTAAAAGGTTTTAAACTGTATTTAGACATGCTACGGATATTGGTAACAGGGTTGAAAACAAATCTAACCCCATTAATTAATGTAAAACAAATTTCTTATAATATTTACTAATATGCTATATTTAAATGGACAACCTGAGGATGATGATCAACATTTTTGAGGATCAACTCTCTCTTTGTTTAGAGTCTCATAAAGCTTGGATGCAGAAGGAAGTAAGACACAAAGTCAGTCTTTATGCAGAGCTCATTTTATGTTGCTGTTCCTCGGTTGTCCTCATATTTGTCATAACGCACGTGTGCTTGGGATCCTCCAGATGGCTACACCACAGATGATATCGAGTTTTACTGGCGAGGGGGAGACGGAGCCGTCACGGGGGTGGAGAGGATCGAGCTGCCTCAGTTCTCCATCGTGGACTACAAACTCATCTCCAAGAACGTGGTTTTCTCCACAGGTTGAGTTTATTCTCCTTTGTGTGTGTTGCACAGTTGGGACCATGAGTCAGAAGTAATGTTTGATCTAGGGGTGGGCGGTAGGACCAGAATGTTATATCACTGTATGAGTTTTTTTCATGATAACGGTACATATTATCTAATGAGAAAATAATTTTACAAATGAAAATGGTATTTCAGGGTTTTTTTTAAACTTGAAGGACACAAACCAAAAGATATGATTATTCAAGACTTCTGTTACAAACAAAAGTAAAGCTAATATAAAACGGATGGGTCTCACCCTGAATTCTTTGGTATTTTTATCAGAGCTGTGTAGATTACATTAACATAATCTGTTATGGATTCCAAATTACATGACAAAAATCGTAGTTAGTAACGTAATCCATTACACATTTTAGGTAATATAATCTGACTACTTTTTGATTACTCATTTATCACATTGATTTAAATAGGATAATCTTGTATTAAAATAAAAATACAAAGAGAAAGAAAATATATTCTGTTCATTGTCATTAATAACAAGTGCATTAAACATTACATTACTGTAAGGTCCCAAACTAGAAACCGCAGGGGGTTCACGAGTTTAGACTGAGAAAGGTTAATAATTAATTAAATCATAAAAATGTAAAGTTAAAATAAATAATTTTAAAATAACAGTAAAAAAAAAAAACATACTAAAAATGATGAAGTATTTCGTTTTCCTGATGTCATCTGACCATTAACCAACATCAGAGGACCATGAAGATGCAAATGTGTTACTTAATTATTAAATTATTACCTTAAAATCTCAGGGGTACTTCAAGTAAATATATTAGATGAAAGAGGTTCAGATGACACAAAAAAAGTTTGGGAATCCTTGCATTGCATGTAAATAAGAAATAATGTGAATTTGTGCATTTTAATGAATTTGAAGACAAAAGCCTTCCGAAGTCATAGAAATAAATGGTTAAATAACCCATAATTTAATGTGTTCATCAGTAATGCTGAGAAAACACTTCTTGAAACGGAAATGTTTTTTGTAAATCCAGTGGTCAAATTCTGTGTGGCTTGTATATTTTCTGTTTAATTATAGTGACTGGTCTTTGTGTGAACGTCCACAAAACTGGAAGACTTTCTGAATGTATGAATAAGCGGTTGGCTATTTTAGAAAAGACGGAAAAAGAAGAATTAGGGAAAATCAATAAATTATAAATAATTTATTGCAATTGAGTGAATAATATGTAATCATGTAATCCATAAAAAAACTTATTTTACAATGTAATATAATCTAATTATAAGTACTTATTTTTTGGAATCTGATGACATATTCCAGATTACATGTAATCAGTTACTATCCAGCTCTGATTTTTGTTAAACTACATTCAAAGGCTTCATGTGCAACAGCCGTTATACACACATCTGTGAGCACACAGAAAGATGATATACGCCCCGGCCTGGTATGATCCCTACAATTTATCCACAAAAACATCACAAGCTGAAATGTTGTGGTGCAGACCTTATTGCATGCATATATAGTTACAGTGTCCTTTTGCTAAACCTTGAAGCGATGTATGCGATGAGTAAGCATGTGAGTAAGTGCATATAATTTGTTTTTCTCCAGTCTTATTATCATCACTGGTCTGCCTTTCAGGAACAGATAACAGGAACAGTCTGGCTGTCTGACTCTACCCACACTCTCAGACACGCCGCTTATTATTGTGACCTGTTCTGCCACCAAATATATATTTGAGGTGGTCTGTGTGTTTACTAGATATGGACCAATGCATTGAATGATCAAATTAAAATGATCAGCATTCTGCAATACAAGAAAAAGACTGATGCTAAAAACAACAGTTTATTGATAATGGTCAGTCCAGTTTTTTTTAAAGAAATGATGCATTATTGCATTAAATTGATTAAAGGATGCATTGTATTGATAAAAAGTGACCGTAAAGACATTAACTACATCACAAAAGATTTCAAATGAATGCTGTTCTTTTAAATTTTCTACTTATCAAAGAAACCTGAAAAATCATGCATCACAAAAATATGAAGCAACACGACTGTTTTCAATAATCAGAAATGTTTCTCGAGCAGCAAATCAGCATATTAGAATGATTTCTGAAGGATCATTTGACACTGAAGACTGGAGTAATGTTGCTGAAAATTCAGCTTTGATCACAGAAATAAATTACATTTGAACAGATATTAAAATAGAAAACGGTTATTTTGAATTCCAATAATATTTGACCTTTTTTTTTACTGCATTTTTTATCAAATAAATGCAGCCCCGGTGAGCAGAAAATGCTTCTTTTACAAACATTTACAATTTTGCACACCACCCCTAACTTTGTATGGTACGACTACAGCAATTCCAAAATGGTTATTACTAGATGTTACTAGAGAGCATGAATGAAACCGTCCTTCTTTTTCTTTTTTGGACCAGGTTCTTATCCTCGTCTGTCTCTGAGTTTCAAACTCAAGAGGAACATCGGTTACTTCATCCTGCAGACCTACATGCCCTCAATCCTGATCACCATCCTGTCCTGGGTATCCTTCTGGATCAACTACGATGCTTCTGCTGCCCGCGTGGCTTTAGGTGGGACATCTGATCAAGTGATGTGTTTGTTGGGCTTATGGTGACCATTTTATGCTGTGTCTTTATTTTGTATGCTCAGGGATCAGCTGTGATGGTTCTTTGGATTTCCGGTACTTGTTTTACAGGCTCTTTTCTGTTTGCCTCTCATTGCAGTTGAGTAATACATCAGTGACTGTGATTTTGCCAAGATGTGTTTCTGTATCAACATCCTTGTTGGTCCTGGAACAACATTCCTATATTGTGCTGCAGTGATGGCATAATGTTGTAGGTTAACCTGGAAGTTTACATCACCCTGGTTCCCTCTACAAAACCCAATAGGATTTTCATGTTGGCTTTTGGATTATTGCAGAAAAAAAGCTCTGTGACCAACAAAGTTTATGATTCTTACACATTTTGTGCATCAAGATAATCTTCACAAATGAATACTTTTATGCATTTCAAAGCTTGTGTTTGAAACAACGAGGCTGTGAATGTGAACTAGAGAGATGATAAATTGTCCTGTTCGGTGTGATGGTTTTTAATGACCCAGACAACCTCAAAACAAGTAAAAGCTTAAAAAACCACAAGGCTGTATTGCTGATGGTGTAGAATAAATCACAGACCTTTTTTCAGACATTAAACTAACCAGTGCTGAGTAGATTACTTACAAAGTAATCCGTTATGGATTACAAATTACATGAGGAAAATTGTAGTTAGTAACGTAATCTGGATTACACATATTAGGTCTGACTACTTTTTGATTACTTTTAGACTACTTTTTACCTAACGTGTTTATCACATGACTTGAATGTGAGGGGAAAAAAACAAAGAAAGAGAAAATATATTTCATACCTTTTTATCAATATTGTGAAATGCATTAAACATTACATTACAGCGGGGTTTCCACAATCTGATTATGAGTATTTTAAAACATAATATAATCTAATTACAAGTATTTAATTTTTGGATTTTTACGTAATCCAGATTACACAGATTGGGACAATGTAAGTCTAAAGATGCAAACTAACTTTTTTTAAGTTTTAGTATTAATTCCTGCAGCACTCTATTAACAATTCTGACCTTAGCTTTCATTTATAAGCAGATATGGGATATTCCTACTCGACATCTGAGATTTCCAACCGTAGAGGTGTTCCTTTGCTCGACGCTCGAAATACAAGGAGACAAGAAATCGGCATTATGGTTAGCTTTACAGGTGTTCAGAGTCTCCTGCCAACAATATTGCAGAGAATAAACGGTGATACGCATTCATTCAGCAGGTGAAGAATTTCCACAGATTTTTTAATCTCAACAAATGCTTGATAAACAGGTTATATCTTATCATGCTGGAGCTTCAACTCATTGATTCATTGAATTTTTCTGAAACGTGATTACATCCCCCAGGTGTCATCATGTTCATAAGATGTGATAAGACAAGTTTCCAAGTTGGAAGTCCAATAGTCTCGCTTAGCCAGACTTTTAATTGAAGCCATAGGGTTTGGGCTCTACAGCCAAGGACAGATGCAGTCTGAATGACACGTAAAGCGACCAATAACAGTTAATTTGTTCAATGTTTTGTTTAGGAGCAGGTAAATAACAGAACAGCATGCAACCATGTGTCATTCATTCAACATCAGCACAAAGTATAGCAAATAATGGCACAACAATCTGCATTAAAAACCCTAACAAAATAGTTGAAGATGTCTGTAAAGTTTGTTCACCTTTTTAATCAGAATTTTTAATCTAAAACAAATAAGCACCAATTATTTCAAAGATGTGCACTTCAGGCATTAGGCATTCTCAGTGCTCATCCATTTGAAGCACGTCTCTCCACTTTTTAGTGTCCACAACCGATGTGTTTTACTTTTCGTTAGCACAGATTTGTTTCCTGGTGGATTGTTAAAGGGTTAGTTCACCCAAAAATGAAAATTAGCCCATAAATTACTCACCCTCAAGTCATCCTAGGTGTATATGACTTTCTTCTTTCAGACGAATCCAGTCGGACTTATATAAAAAATTGTCTTTGATCTTTCAAGCTGTTTAATGCCACTCAGCGGGTGTTTCATACATCAGTCCAAAAGAAGTTCAATAAAAAGCGTCCATCCATAAAAAAAGTGTCTCACACGGCTCCGGGGGGGTGAATAAAGGCCTCCTGTAGCGATTGATGCGTTTTTGTAAGAAAAATATCCATATTCAAAACGTAATAATCACTATAATGTAGCTTGCACCAACAGTCGTAAACGGAAGCAGTTCCGGGGGAATGACGTATGAGTTCAGCGTTGTGAAAAAAAAAAAAATTCAGTAGTTTTATATGTTGTTTGAGGGTTAGCAGCATCCTCTGAGGTCTTCTGGGGGTTGATTCAGGAACATGTCTTGGCAAAAATCAAGGTGATCTTAGTACATCTGTTCCCCAAGAAGAGAATTGTTCAGCGGTTGATCTTTCGTATTATCATATTATGACTCATATTTGAGATCTTTGGTAGACTTGGGTATTTTTATTTTTTTCAAATCAGAGTACAGTTTAAAACGTTTTTAAAGCATCTCGTCTGAAACTCTGGAGGAGACAATCATGAGATGAATCTTCGTTTTTTCGCATTGCTGCGTAGGAGGAACTAGATATTGTGGTTGTGCTTTCCTTTGGGCAGTACCTGCCTGTGCTCCAAAAGAGGAGGCTCAAATTGCAGATGAAATTGTATGATGCTTGGACTCAAGTGGGTCTTAAATCTGCCTCACTCCAGTGAAAATACAGCGCTGCCAGTGCTCAGCTCCAAACTCTATTAGGAGTACTCTGTAGCCTCTGCTGATCTGCGTTGATGTATTACTGCTGATTAAGCTGACAAACTTTCCTCTGGTCGCTCTTTACTGACATGTTTTATGTCTAGGGCCATGTTCCTGCCATTATGACAAAATGGCTTCTTGTGACGCTGATACTTCGGAGGGAGACGGCGGAGAATAGATCACTGATGATAGGGAGCCGGGCCTTTTGTGTTTGGGTGAACTTGTCAGAATGAATCTGTCTGCAGTGAGGGGCATGTGACAAGGAAACACATGTCTCAACCTTGCTGTATTGTTTAAACAGAAATACAGCGGCTGTGTTACAGACTTGACTTCTCGGTTTCTCTACGTGACTTCAGAATGAATTGCTTGAGCTTTATAAAACGGAGAGTTCTGGTCCTTGATTCTGATTGGCTGAGCCAAGTTCAAAGCTGTTGTAAATTACTCTACAAACATACACCTTTGTTTACTTTGTGTGTTGCTCAGAACCACTTTGTTGGAACCACAACCGATTCTGAGGAACTACATTGTTTGGCGGAAGAATAATGTTTTTATTAATATCATTACACTTTATTTGCTCTGTTTTATTCTGTGAAATAGGGCTTATAGCTTTATTCTACACTGAATGTGTTTGCTATGTATGTGTGAATTTGACCAAACGGAGATGATGAGGATGAACAAATTAAACATTTAGGAAAATGGGAGAAATGCAGATGATTTGATGCACCTTGATTTGGCAGATGGGTTAGAGGTGAGCTTAGAGGCAATAATCCATCGAAAAACTAGATTTGACTCTTTATAATTTACATGCACCATTCAAAAGATTATTTTTATAATACATTTGACTACTTTGATTTAACAAGGATGCATAAAGTTGATCAAAAGGGACAGTAAAGACATTTATAATGTTACAAATTCTATTTAAAATAAATGATTTTCTTTTGAACTATTCAAAGAATCTTGAAAAATGTATCACTTTGTTTCCACAAAAGTATTAAGAAGCACAAGTGTTTTCAACATTGATGATAAATCAGCATATTAGAATGATTTTTCTGAAGATCATGTGACACTGATGACTGGAGTAATGATCAATGCTTTGATCACAGACATAAATTACATTTTACTATATATTCACATAGAAAACAGATATTTTAAATTGTAATAATATTTCACAATATTTCTGTTTTTACTGCTTTTTTTGATCAAATAAATGCAGCCTTGGCGAGCATAAGAGGCCCCTCCTTCGCTGTAAGTCCATGGGGTTTTTTTTGTGCTTGTTTTGCGAAATATCTTCAGTCGGATTGCTTAATAATAGCATCAACAAGCTGCAAATTTTGAGGTGCCACTGATGCCACGAGAACTTTGTGAGGCGAGTTGCATGAGAGCGAACAGACCCCTAAACCCAAGCATTAATTTTCATCATGCAACTCATCCCACAGTGTTCATGAGTGCTACCCGAAATGGTGCTTCGTTTAAATCGAAAAGCACATCTCTAGGTATATCTCAATGCTTCTCTCTGGAAGTGCCGTAGCTCGCGGCAAACCTCTTCGATTTGCATTTGCATTAGCGCATTGTATTCAAGTCGATTGTTGTCAAAGTTTTCATAATGGTTTCAAGTTGGAAGATGACACATGAATAACCTCTGTAATTGCTCCGTTGGCAGCTCCTACTCAGTGCTTGCTGGATAATTACGTCTCACTTCTCTTGTTATATAAAGCTGCAACTGACTTGAGCTGTACTTAATTATGCCTTAACGCTTTCTCTGAACTCCAGGTATCACCACCGTGCTGACCATGACCACCATTAATACTCACTTACGAGAGACCCTTCCCAAGATTCCCTATGTGAAAGCCATAGACATGTACCTGATGGGCTGCTTTGTCTTTGTGTTCCTGGCGCTGCTGGAGTACGCCTTCGTCAATTACATCTTCTTCGGGAGAGGCCCTCAGCGGCAGAAGAAAGCGGCGGAAAAAGCTGCCACGGCCAACAATGAGAAACTCAGGCCCGACCCCAACAAGGTACTGCCGAGCTTTCCACGCACACACACACACACACA